TCCATCCATCCATCCATCCATCCATCCATCCATCCATCCATCCATCCATCCATCCATCCATCCATTCCTTTCTTTCTTTCTATCTATCTCATAGGCTGGTTTTCTCCCAATAAGGGAATTCAAGGCAACTCACAGTACTAAAAAGAATAAATTAAAAATACAAGAAGTTCTAAATTAAAAACAACTGAACTATAAAACTGATTAAAATGCACTGAATGATTTAAAACATGTAAAACATTAAAAACTATTTTAATTTTAAAAAAAACGCATTCAGGGACTCAATCATGATTGTTAAAAGCCTACTTATTTGAAATCACCGCTCAACCCCGTCCTACCTTTAGTCTCTCTCTAATTTTGGAAGTAATGAATTACAAGTAACAGCTAAAAGTAGTTGTAGTAACAAAGATGTTGTAATAACTTGGTGTAATGAGTGTAATGAGCAGTGTAATGAGCAACATTTTCTAGTTACTTTCAAACATGACTTTCAACGTTAGGCTGAAATGTTTCGCTACTCATCCAACTCGCTTCTTCAGTCTGAGGAGAGTTGGTAGGAGATCCCTGATAGATCCTCCATGTTGGTTCCACTTCCCCTTGGTCTGAATAGGCTCATTAGAAGGACAAAAGGCCTGGGGGTGAGGGATAATCCTACTGCTGCAGTCCTTCTCCACCCATTATCAGGGTTGTTAACAGTAGTTAGCAGTGTGCGATCCTATTCTTTATGGGGACAGACAGAAAAGGCAGCATAATAGGAGACAGACTATATCTAAGGCCTCCACCCCTGTTGATTGAGGGATTTTCTATATGCACATGTACGGCATGGATCTATCAGGGGCCTCCTACCAACTCTCGTCTGACTGAAGCCACTTAGATGAGAAGTGAAACGTTTCAAGCCAACAAGAAAGAAGTCCAGTGGCCATGTCTCAACTTCCAGATAACCTCACCTGGAGGACTGAGAATCTTCACAGATACGACATTCAATGCATTCTAAGCAGCGCTGGAGGACAGAGAATCTTCACAGATATGACGTTCAATGCATTCTAAGAAGCAGTTTGAAAGGAACTGTTCACGTTCTAGGCCATTCTCTTACCAAGAATTTACCAAAAAAAGGCAACAAAAGACAAGGAAAAACTAACGAGAAACATAAGTAACGAAGCAAGGTTATTTTTCAAACAGAGCAATTGAAAGAAGTACAATTTAAAAGGCCACCTTCAATCTCAACAGAACCAAATTGCAAATATATCATCCTACCTGCACCATGATATTGTCACTAGAAGCAGCCTCCTGGGCTTCATTGATCCACCGCTTGACCACATCATAGTTGATTTTCATCATGTGCTGGAAGACATTGCACAGAATCCACAGTTGTGATTGGAGGTGGGCACAGACCGCTGTTTGACAGGTCGTGCCAGTTCGCTTATAGAACGAACAGGTGTTTGGCACTTCCCAGGCCCGCCTTCTCCAGCAGGCTGTTCCCTGAAACCTCTGAGAGCATCCTCTCTTAATGCATCGTGGATTGGCTATCTCAATGTTTCCTGCTTGGCCACTGCTTGGCTTTTCTTTTACTGAACAGTCGATCATTTGTTTATTTGTGATGAGTTATTTCTTAGTATGTTATTTCATATTTTCCTTATATTTATTTTATTTTGGAAGTTAACTACCCAGAAGAGTACCTGGCAATAATCGGGTGGTATACAAGCTGAATGCATGAATGAATGAATGAATGAATGTTCCCTTTCACCCATAACTCATTTGTCAAAGATAACAAGGAAAATATTACGGAGGCTGACTGTGCTCGGAAAAAAATACTTTTTTGGACTACATCTCTTCCAGATCACGCTTAGCAGGGGATTCTCAGAAAAGCAGCCCCCAAAGCTATATTTTTCCCCAAGCCCTGGAGGTTTGCCAGGATCTGGAGACAGAGCCCGGGGGGATTCTCTGGGCTACAGAGAATAGGGCTCCGCACCTAACCTGTAATTTCTTTAGTGATTTCCTTTCCCTGCCTTTGACTCTGACAAAGCCAGGGCACCTAGGGGAGAGGGCATTACACATGGAACAAGAGAAGAACGGCACTAATCCTGATCAAAGCGTTCCCAGCTTCTCCCAAGTCAGAGGAAACACTGCCCAGTGGTAAGGCGTCTTGAAAAAGTTTGCAGAAAAGCCAGGCAGACAGGAGAAGCGGGAGGCAGAGAAGCCGCTGCTGAGAAATCAACTGGGGGGGGAGCTGCTGGAGTCCCCACCTGCCCCCCTGGTCCATAAAGGCAACCACGAGACCCCCCTCCACTTACCAAGGAAGACACCAGGGCCGAACTGGAGACACTGGAGACTTTGTCCACAATGGCCTGTTTCATGTACCGCTCAATGGCCTGCAGCATCGTCCCCTGGGGAGAAAAAAAACAGGAAGAAAACAAGGGTGACATTCTTCTGGGCAACCTTTCGGCCAGAAACGAAGAACTGCATCTTCTTAGAAACGGTCCGTATTTTTGTGAGCTCAGACAGAACTTGATACCTGGGAACACCTTCCGAAGGAGCTCGCCCAAAGCTTGGAAAAGTTACTTTCTTTTTTTTTTTTACCTAGAACCATGCTGGGCTGGGGGATTCTTATACCCAGAAAGAGACTTTTCCAAACTCTGGTTTTCACCTTCTGTTTTAGAATAAATTTTTCTAGTCCTCATAATTAAGGAGATATGAATATAGGTAAGCTCAGGGGTTCATGAAAGCCAAGACTGTGCTGTGTACAATACAGTTTAAAATGTGTTCAAAAGGACGGATTGAATAATTGATTGGTTTTATTTAAAATAAGTTTATCCCGCTTTTCTCCAAGGTGGTTTACATCATGAAAAGACAATATTTAAAGCTAAATGAATATAAAGAGGCAGCTTACGCAATCAAGAGAAAATATTAAAGCTAAAGCGATAAATCTACAAATATTTAAAAGGATTCTCTTACTGCACTGGCCAGAATCCTCTTGAAATTTTCCCTGCGCACAAGAGCTGTTTGTAGCATGACTGGCTACACATCTTATGTTGCAAACAGAATGTGACCGGTTGTGCAAAGGACAGCCTGCTGGTGGGGTGACCACTTGCACAGCTACCTGTTTGCTCCACATTTCTTCAAGAAAATTCCTGCTTTTAAGGTTAATGCTTTTTTTTAGAAAAAGAAAAGCTTTTCTTTAAAAAAAACCAACCTAAATTTTAGAAAGACTGAAGGGTCCCCTTAGCATGTAAAACAAGCTACTCTGTCTAATTTACTCAATGCATAGGCAGGAAAGACAATCTGAGAACAGCAACAAACCAACAGACATGGTGAATTAAACTATATTCAAGTCACTCCCTCTCCTGACAGCTTGCACCCATCCACATTTGGAAGGGTTATCACTGAGAAAGCTTGGCAGCTCATTTCAAGTTGAAATGCTCTCATCACCACCCATTTGAGAACAAAAGACTGAATTTAACACACCTGCAAACAGTTCACTTTATGAATGTTCCCTCCCTCCTTGAAGTCCCTCTTTTTGCAGCCTTCAGAGAACAGAAGGTTGAATTACAAAAATCTGTTCTAGCGAGCTGTCCTGCAAATTATTTTTCTTTTCATCTACGCTCCCTTAGGGTACTTACATCCGTGATCCTACAGAGTGCTCGAATGGCAGGGCCCCGATAGACATCCTCTTTGCCTGTCATGTCTTTAGTTAGGCTGGAGGAACAAAGACAAATTCCTGTTAACGCAAAGCCTTGGCATAAAAATAAACAGGAAAAAGGTGGCCGTTGTCTCCAGACCAGACTAGACGAGACTACAAGGTACTTTACTTGGGACGCCTTCTGAAAACAGACCAGAAGCTGCAGCAGGTCCAAAATGCAACAGCTAGATTTTAGCCCAAGACTAGAGATGGGCATGAAATTTAAAAAAACACACAAATAACCAAATTCATTCAAAAAATCACTAACAATTTGTATTTGTATGAATCAATGCTCCGATGAATCACAAATCAATGACTGTTTTGCTATTTTTGATTCATCAATTCATTTGGCCGTAAAATGCCCCCAAAGGAATCTAGAGAAACCAAATGTGAATGGGATTTTCCTCTGACTCTCCTCTGCAATTCCTCCAGATCTGGTGAAGATTGGATTTCAGATGTCCAAGCTATACACTTTCAAAGAGGGCACCCACCAGGAAAGTCCCACCGTCATAACACCTAGAGACACCAAAATCACAGAGAAGCTTGCCATGATTCTCCTGTACAGTTCCTCCAAGTCTGGGTTTCCCCAAGCAGCTGCTAAGGGACACTTTCCTGAGGGGGGGGAGATGTACTTTGTGGGTGTATAATTTGGACATCTGAAACACAATTGCCACCAAATATGGAGGGCTTGTAGAGGAGAGTCAGTAGACGCTTCCCTGCAAATCTGGTGCCTCTAGGTGCTTTGGGGATTGTTTTATAGGGTTTTAAAGGAAAAACCAAATTTGACAAATTGATCTGTTGATTTGTTAGAAGAAAAATCATAATTCGTGATTCGTTGACCTTGACGAATCACAAATCTAATCACTATTTTTCCAATTCGCACCCATATGTAGTCAGCACCAAAGGTGCCATATATGTTTTCGGAGCTCATTTAAAATTCTTGATTCTAACTTCTAGAGCAGGGGGCGGGCCGTCTCCAGCCATCCACCTGTTCCTGAAAGGTCTGTGTCTCCGACCACCCATTTTTTTCCTTTATAGAAATGGTGTGCATGTTTTTAAGCAAAAAAAAAAAATCCTTTTAGCAGCAACGGTTTTTAAAAAAATCTAGAACATGGGGGGGCTGCTGGGGGCATCAAAAGAAAGCAAATTCCCTCACCTCAAGCCTGCTTGGGGGGGGCATACAGCCTTTTTCAAGGGAAAGGGGGGTGGTATGTGCGGGCATGCTGGGAAAGCCACATCAAGGCCCCGGGAAAGGAAAGCCACCCCTTTCCTGCCCCCATGTGTAATCCCAACAACACGGTGTCTTCTTTAACTCCCGTATGAGCTCGTTTCAGGTCTAGATCTAAGCTGGAGACTTTCTTCTTGTTACCCACCTGGAAAAATCTGCCACTGGGCACCAGAGAGGCAGGTCTTTCCTGTGACTGGGGGGGGGGGGGGACTTCTCTCTAACAGCCCTCTGGATCTTCTCTCTTGTCAGACACATGGAAAACACTTAAACACTTCTACACTGAGGAGTTTTTAATGTAGTACATCTACTTTTATGGCAGTCAGCCAAAGCCTAAATCCAGTGGTTATGCTTAACTTAAGCAGAGCTGTTGAACTGGTGAAACTTACAATAACTTCCTGACTTATAGGTTTCCCAGTGAGGCAATGGGTTTCAGCTAGCCGAGACGATGAAGTTGATTTACAAGGTTTAATAGTTTTTATGTTTGCTATTAACCTGCAATCTATGATTGTTACTCATGTTGTTGTAAGCGGCTCTGGCCTAGATGGGCGGGGTGTAAGTTAAATAAATAAAATAAGTTAATTCAGGCCAAAGCGGAAGATCATTTAACTCAGCAGCTGTAGAGGTTCTGCTCTGAAATTGTGGTTTCACTTTGTGTTGTCAGTTGCTGCTTTCCCTAATTGACGGTTCTATTATGTATTAAATTTCTAAAATTCTGCTCTATGTCTTAAAAAGTCTCAGGGACGGTCAGTAAACATAATCAAATAATTTAAAACTATTTAAAGCGATTCAGCAAAACAGAACGGTGGACAGAGAGTACAACTGACTAGACTTGGGTATTGTTAACCAAAGACGGGGCACCTGCTGGTGACGATGATGACATCCTCTGATATGTTGGCCATCTCCTTGATTGTCAGGTAGCACATTCTCCTTAAAGTTTGCTATGGGGGATAAAAAAGCAAGATTAAACCTGAAGGCAGGAAAAGTTAACTGTGGAAACAACAATTACCGAAGTTATGTTGCAAAACAAGGGGGGAGAGGGAAGAGAGAAAACACGCTGACTTTTCTGGATTCATACTTGAGGGCATGTTCAAATTACATTGGTCAAGAACTTATTTATTTAATGAATTAAAATATTTTGAGCCTGCCTGAGTGCTAAGATCATCAAGAGAGGCCTCCCTATCAATCCCTCCAGCTTCGCAGGTGCATCTGATGGGGACATAGGAGAGGGCCTTCTCAGTGGCTCCTCCTTTAGACTCTGGAACTCCCTGCCACTGGAGGCCAGCTTGGCCCCCTCTTGGCTGTCCTTCTGCAAGCAGGCAAACTTTCCCCCACTGACAAGCTCCCTGAATGCGGCTTTTAAATGGATTGCTATGCACTACTGCTCTGACAATTACTTGTGTTTACCATCTCACAGAATAGTACTTGTTGGTTCCTTGTAATATTGGTATAATTGTTTCACCCTAAATAAGGTATTTGAATTACATAAGCTGCATCTTTATATTCACAGTTCTTAGCTTTCAATATTGTCTTTTCATGGTATCAGCCCACCGTTTTCTACTCCTTGTTTCCAGCTTTAAATATCATTTTTCAATGATGATAAGCTGCCTTGGGCCCTTTTTCAAGGAGGAAGGTGGGGTCAAAATATTTTAATTCATTAAATAAATAAATTCTTGACCAATGTAATTTGAACATGTCCTCAAGTATGAATCCAGAATTGTCCGCGTGTTTTCTCTCTTTGAGTTTTGTTTCTTTCAGTCGTTGAGATAGCTTGGGGCCAAGCTGTTTACGGACGGGTAAGTTAAAACCAGCCATTCGAGTTGTGCCTGGAAACGAATCAGCGGCCCATAAAGCTGCTGTAACACATATGCTTGCTGTGTCTCAAACGCTCACCCCCTTGGTCCTATTTTGCCTGTATTCAAGGAGCCCCTTCCGCTAGACATCAACAACTAAGCAGCATCATTTTTCACATTCCCAATCAGCCCCCTTCAGATGGTGGCAGGGTAAAAAGTGGGGCAGGGCATGGGTAAATTATATATTTTGGGGACTGCAACTCCCAGGGGACCACTTAAGAATGCCGGCTAGGAAAATTTGGGAGTTCTCACCCACACCGATGTGTATGCCACTATGGATGCAGATCCATACGTAAATCCATGCATGGGAACTACATCAATATACAAAACGCCCAGTGGTTCCTCGTGGAGTCAAAGCCACTTGGAGAGGATGAGTCAGGAGTCACTTACATCGTTTGACTGAAACAACCTCGTCATGGCGAAGAAGGCTTCGGTGGCCTCCGTTGTTCCAAAATGTTCACCCTAAAGAGGAAGAGGACGGAACAGGCACAGGGCATTGTGAGCTAACACGTAGGACAAGATGTTCAAACAAAGCAGGTCTTATCTCCAATCATCTCTTTCAGTTGCCCAAATTGCAGGTTGGCCTCCAGATCATGAAAAACCCCATGAGCGCCTTTGTCTGTTTCTTCCATCTTCTTATCATTCTTGACTGTCAAGTTGCTTCTGACTTACGGTGACTCTAAGAGGGTTCCTGAGGTATGTGACCCTGGGATTGCTAGTGTGGTGTAGTTTATACAGTGATGGACTGGGACTCTGGAGAAGAGGGTTCGAATCCCCACTTGACCATGAAAACTCACTGGGGGTGTGGCACTCCTTAAAATATTTCACTTACTTTGAAAGCCCTATTAGAGTATTGGAAGGTCACGATTTAAAAATAGGTTGGCATGCATAGGTGTGGTCTGGAAATTTGAAAGAACAGACACATTTCGCACAACATATTGTGAGGAAAGCGTTGTGTCTAGCATGGCAAAAATTTCAAATGCAAACTTGTAAGAAAATTCCAATATGGGTAGCACCAATAGAGGCATTTACATTGAAAGTATTGAATCAGAAGGGAGCTTTACTTACGTATAAAGATTTCCTAACTAAAGATCAAATTGTGAGAGATGAACCCTCAATCAAAAATCAATGGACTTGAGAAAAAAAGCAACGAAACTTTTATTATAATAAAAGACAATTATCGTTTGTTTAACAAAACAAACTCAACTCCTTTTGTGTGTGTGGCTCTACAGGTGTTCGCCTTACCCGAAGAGCCGCCCCGACTCACACAACTTACCTGGTTCAGCAGGTAAAGGATCTTGGTAAGTATATGCAGGCATCTTCTTGGATTTATGGGGGTCTCGTTAAAGATCCGAGCCTGTGATGAAATCGGGAAAACTGATGTTAAGAACACTGACCGGATACATTAGGGAAAAAAATCCCTTTCTTTAAAAGGCAAAAACTGATTATAGCCGCTCCTTTAACAAACCCACTTGCAGAAAAATCTCTGA